TAGTTTGTTGCTAATGAGAGGATTTTCTTCAGAGTAAGAAAGAACGGAAGCTTTACAATTTTTTAAAGTGAACTTTATATTTTCACTTAATTATTTATAGTAATTCTCTTTTAACCAGTCATATCTCTTGTCGTATATGTTTATCATCTCACTTAATTTCCTAAGTCCAGTTCCAAAAGGGTCTGAAATGTATTCTGGGTAGCTTCTTAGTGTCACCCACTGTACTCCCCCACGCCGCCAGAATAATTTTAGTGCTTTTGTAGTGGTAAAGGGTACCAGTGTTCACTTCTTGTTTAAGGATCAGAAATAAAGCTGAAATGTATGAGATACATTATAAACACACAGCAATTGCTCAATAAATCTCTAATGTAAATTTATTGCAGAGTGAACATATCTTTTCTGTTGGAAGTACCTCATTGAGAGTGTATATCAGACTTCATTTTCCTTCCTTCTGTGGTCTATTTCTTTGATCATTCCTCCTCACTTTGTTAAAACTTTGTTTAGTTTCTAGATCAATTAGCCCTGAGCTAGAAAAAGTTAGTTAGACTCTAATTCCTTAGAAAGCGTTATTCTCTTGGTAGCCAACAATCAATTTCATGAATATATAGTCTTAAAATTATTTTTCTATCTTTTCCATTGTGGTTTTATTTTTGTATATCTGGCTGCTTCTTAGGAATCAAAAGAAATCCAGGAACATTGTCAGTAGTATTTTTTTTCTTTCTGCTGTTTCTTTCAAGTAACAGCATACTGTTTCACAGGTAGTGCCAGTATTTATAACAGAGTGTTCTCAGTTTCTGCCTCCTGTAACTAATAACCTTGCTGTCATTCATTTTACTTTTCTATAAGCTATAATCACAAAATACATTCTAGCTGTTATTTTGCACAACTGTTATCTGTTAGATCAATTAAGAATAAGAAAATTTAAAAAAGTATATTTTACCTTTATTGGTTCTTTCTCTCATACTATTCCTTTCTTTAGGTACATTCTGACCTATATAATTTTCTTTCCCTCTGAATAATTTCTTATAGTGTGTTTTGCAAGGCAGTTCTACTTGCAAAAAAATTCCCTCAATTTTTTTTTGTCTGAGAAAGTCTATTTCTCTTTCATTTTTGAAGCATGATTTTATTGGATACAGAATTTTAGATTGATGGGTTTTTTTCTTTCAAAACTCAATATTTTCTTTCAAAATTTTTCTTTCAAAACTCAATTCCTCTTGCTTACATTGTTTCTAAGAGAAGTGTGATGTAATTCTTATCGTTTTTCTTCTGTAGCTAAAATCCCCCACATTCCCCACTTCTCGAATCCCCCTTGTCCCTGGTGTACCTTCTTTCCCGATACTCTCTTTGTATTTGGTTTTGTGTAGTTTTAATATGATAAAACTAGTTATTGTTTTTGGTACTTATCTTTTTTGGAGTTCTCTATACTACCTGGATCTGTAGTTTTGTGTCTGTCATTAACTTTGGGAAATTCTGAGCCATTATTTTACTTCACATAGTTCTTTTATTCCTTTCTTTTTATCCTCCTTCGGGTATTCCCATTATACATATGTTAAACCTGTTACAGTTGTCCCACTCACATAAACTGTTCCACTTTTTCATTGTTTTTTTTTTTTTTTTCTCTTTACATTTTTGTTTTGGAACTGTCTATTGACATATCTGGAAACTCTGATTCTTTTTTTTTTTCCCCCTCAGCCATGTCCAATTTATTGATGAGTGCATGAAAGGCATTCTTTATTTTTGTTATGTGTTTTTTATTTAGCATTTATTTTTTATTTCATAGAGTTTCCATCTCTCTGCTTACATATTTACCTATTCTTTTATGTTGCCCACTTTTTCCAGTAAATTCTTCAGCATGTAATCATAGTTGTTTTAAATTCTAAGTCTGATAATTCCAAATTTTCTGCCCTGAGTCTGGTTCTGATGCTCGATTTATGTCTTCAGACTGTTTCTTTTTGTCTTTTATTATGGCTGGTTATTTTTTGTTGAAAGCTGGGCATGCTGTTTTGGGTAAAAGGAACTTTGGTAGGTGGATCATTAGTTTGAAGTTTTATGTTTATCTGGCTAAGAGTTAGGTTGTGTTTTCTATTTGCTATATAGCTCTCATGTCCAAGGCTAAAATTTCCTCTTCTTAGTTTCTATCTTCCTTCTTTGAGTTTTCCTACAGACCTTAAATGGGTGTGACTCCTACAGTTCTTTAGCTATAACTCCCTGTTATTTTATAGGAACACTACAGATCTGAAGATCATGTAGTGAGGTGTGGGAGGAAATATTCTATTCTTCATTAGGTCTCAGTCTTTTAGGGAGCCTGAATTGGGCATTTCCCTTCCCTCATGTCAATTAGGCTCTGGTAAAATAGTTTCTCTTATGGGCAGGCCTTATTAAGGAAGACAGAAAGGTCTAGAATATTTTTAAATGATTACTTTTCCCTTATGCACTGCTAGAAGCAGAAAGGGATTTTTCTCTAGTCTTCACAGAGAGAACCTAGTAGGGCTCCTAGAAATAAAATTCACGAAAGTTTGGAGACTCTGTCTTTAAGGCTGTACCCCTACTGTTTTTTAATTCTTAAGCTAGTGTTTGAATTGTTTTATATTATGGTGTAGAGGAAAGTTGAGAATTAATTGTAATATTGTATTTCATATTGACTTAAGGTATGAACTGCTGAAATAGTTTAATTATTGAATTCTCCAATTACGTCTCTGAAGTATTTTGCTTAGTGGTAGAAGTCATTTGGGTTTGAACTAAGTTTAATTGTTTTTATTATTGCTTTAAATGTAAGGATCTTTTGTGATTCATAGGTAATAGGAAATTTTTGAAAATTATAAGCTACTCATTTTAGCTAATCTCATTTAGTTATTTTTCTTGAAGTGGCAGAGCATTATATGACTTCATACATACTTTTGTCTGACCCTACACATTTTTAGTTTATTTTTTCCAGTTTACAACACTGCTGCCTTCGGGTAACAGTATAATGAACATAATTTTAACTACTACATTAAGATATGGGAATATTTGATTAGTAACTATTAATTACTGCCTCATTCTAGTATAGTGAGTGTTGTAGTGTTTGAAATTATCATTATTAGTCAAGGAAGCGATGTTCTAGCATGCATCTACTATACTCTTTCAAAATGAATTAATACATATACATAGAAGAAGGGATTTTGACCTCCTTCAAGACATCTTAATTTTCTAAAAAAAAAATCATCTTCTTATTTTGCTTCATAAAATTTGACTTTTAATTATGTTGCTGCTAAAGTTATCCTCTGAGATATTGTGCATAGATGATTAAAGAGTTTTTTTTGTTTTTGTTTTTGTTTTTTAATTTTTTTTAACGTTTTTATTTATTTTTGGGACCGAGAGAGACAGAGCATGAACGGGGGCGGGGCAGAGAGAGAGGGAGACACAGAATCGGAAACAGGCTCCAGGCTCTGAGCCGTCAGCCCAGAGCCTGATGCGGGGCTCGAACTCATGGACCGCGAGATCGTGACCTGGCTGAAGTCGGACGCTTAACCGACTGCGCCACCCAGGCGCCCCTAGAGTTTTTTTTTTTTGAGGGAACGACACTCCTTAAAATGACCCTTGAAATCTATTAAATCATTGCTTTTACTCAGCATCTCTTTCCTCATTCTCTTTCCTGTCCTTCATAGAAATAGTACATTAGCTTTCTAGTTTTGTGGTAACAAATTACTGTAAATTCAGTGGCTTAAAACCACACAAATATACTGCCTCCTACTTCTGTAGGTCAGAGGTCCAGTATGATTGTCACCAGACTGAAATCAAGGTATGCACAGGCTATATTCCTTTTTGGAGGCTCTAGGAGAGAATCCACTTACTGCTTATTTGAGTTGTTGGCAGAATTCAGTTCCTTGTAAATACAGAACTGAGGTCTTGTTTTCTTACTGGCTGTTTAAAGGTTATTGTGCCTTTTAGAAGCCACCACATTTGGTTTATGGTCTCCTTCCTCCAACTTCAAAACCAGCAATGACCATTCAAGGTCTTTTCACTTTACATCCCTTTCTTCTTCTATGATCTTCCACTTTTAAGGAGTTAAAGGGTTAGATTGGGCCAATTTGGATAATCCAGGAAAATCTCCCCATCTCTGGTCCTTCACCTTAATCATATCTGCAAAGTTCCTTTTATCATGTAACATAAAATATGAATAGGTTTCCTGAGTTAGAGTGTGGACATCTTTGGGGAACTGTGTTTCTGCCTGCTGCAAACAATAATACTAATTGGTGCCAGATTTTTCTGGAATAATTTTCCTTTTTTTTTTGTTTAGAATACCTCTGACCTTTCACTTTTTGATTCAGTAAATACAAAAGAGGTGTTAGAATTTAGTCAAGATACAAATTCCTATATGGAAATACAAATCAGATACTATTCCTATATGGAAATTGTAGGGAAATAGGTTCTAGAAACGCTGAAAAAAGCAGAGTATTGCCTTGAAAAGCAGAAAGTCCTTGTATATTTTTGTGAGTTTATATTAAGTGGCCCTAAATTTTAGTATTAAGGTTCACAGTTATTCACACAGCAGCAAGAAGTATGCCATCACAGGTAATCAGTAAGAAGTCTCCAAATTTAGTATCAAAACTTTTCAGTTATGAAATAAGTAAGTACTAGGGTTGTAGTGTACAACATGATCACTATGTCGGATGCATAGAGGAGTTTTTAAGAGAATAAATCCTAAGGGTTCTCATCACAAGGAGAAAGTTTTTTTTCCTTTTTAAAATTTTTGTTCTTTATTTTCTTTTTGTTTTATCTACATGAGAAGTTGGAGGTTAGCTGAACCTGTTGTAATCATCTCACAGTATATGTAGATGAAACCATCATGCTGTAATGCCTTAAACTTACAGAGATGCATGTCAATTATTTCTCAATAAAACTGGAGGGAAAACATTCAAAGATAGAAACTCATTCAGAGTAATAACATAATAATTCATGTGGGCTTTGATAATGGATGACATTACATCTTAATGTGTTTTTTCCCCCCCCCTACCTAGATCATCACGAAATATGTATATGAGCTCCTGGAAAAGGACTGTAATTTGAAAAAAATCTCTATACCAGTAAGTCCTGTTTTTAAAAATGCTTAAACTTCCAAATGAGTTAGTTTTCAATTCAGGAGAAAATGGTTATATTAGTTTAACTGTGGTAAGTTTAAATGTTAAGGTTCTAATATGTTGATATTGATAATGATAATATTAAATACATGTGGATACCGCATTTCATTGTGCACAATAGTTCTTTGAAAGTAGTACTTTTAAATGTAGAGGCAAAAAATACTAATAACCAGACTTTTTTGAAAAAGGTGATGCATTTAAAAGGACTACCCCATCTGCCCGTTCTCGTTTAATTTATATAATTTATTTTTACTTACATATCTGAAGTAAACTAAGGTACTTATTGTTGCACTACAAATACACCATCTCTTTAAATATTTCTTGATTGTTTATATTTTTATGTCCATGTTATTTCCTCTGGATATTCCCAAATTCATTCCTCATGCTTCCTGGTTTTTGCAGAGCATTCTTTTCAAATTTTGTACATTTTGCCATTTTATAGTGAAAAAGTTTGAGATTTGTTCTCAGTATCAAATTTGCAAAAAAGTGTTTTAATGTAAAACCTGAAATAGTAAGCAACAAACTGAAGAAATAGTTATCTTATATGTGAAATGATGGTGGTACTAGATTACATGATTCTTGATATTGCTGACAACTCTCTGATTTTATGATATATAAAAATCTGGAAGGCTTAATGAATAATTAATTTAAGGCACAAAACTGTGCATATAATTACTTTGTTTACATGAAATTTTGCATGAGATTTTTAAATTCTTTGGATAATGTTACTCTATGAATTGGAGCATTTGAGGATTTCTTAATAATATTTATCCTCACAAATTAATTCATACTTCAATATTTAAAAGGAAAATCTATCTTATATTTAGTTTTACATAAGTAAGCTAAAATGCTAGGTCACAATGCTAATCATTTATTCATTTATTCAACAAATATTTGTTTAAGTGTCTTTTAGGTGCTGGGCACTGTTCCAAGTGCTTGTGATGTACTAGTGAATAATATATCATTCTGTTCAATAGCTACACTGACCCTCATTTATTTGGAAACTTTTCTTCCTTTTGTTCAGTCTACCTTTCTTGTTAATTTTATTTCTTTCAAAGTTTCTGAAGAATGATATTTAAAGAGACTTAGGTTTATTTCTTGTTACAACACAATTAATATTGAGTCATTTAACTCTGTAATACTTGCAGTTACACGGAACTTTTAAACTCACTTCTGTCCCTTAGATTTCCAGGAGAAATCAGAAGATATTTGGCCTATAGATTATGTTATATGATTAAGTTTTACTATTTTATTTATAGAAAGCCTGGGATGAGGTTTAAGAAGACTTTGTTTTATAGATCTGATTATTTTCCTCTCATTTAAATTTAGACTATAAAGCTAATTAACATAGAAAAAACTTTACCAAAATGAGACGTATAGTAAGTGTCATGTCCATTTTTGGTTAGCAAGATTTCCTGATTTCATGAACTGAAAAGAAACCAAAGTTTTTTGATTTGTTTTAGGAAATTAATATCTCTCCTCAAATTGTCGTCATATATTTTATATAGTTGTGAAATTTTTCTTGTGTAATTATTTTCTCCTGAGTTCTCTTAAATCCCAAAGCCAGCATTGAAAGTGTCTTTTTTTGTTTTGTTTTGTTTTGTTTTGTTTTGTTTTGTTTTGTTTTGTTTTGTATCAGAGTTGTTCTTTTTATTATAGGAATAGCACCAAAGTTTTTTTTTCTCTGATGATGAACTAAGTTTTAGTTTTATAGAACTATTTAATAAGGAAAGAGAGACTCTTCTCTTTTCTTCCCTTTTTTTTTCTTTTCATAAATAACAACACCCTGTGGAAACCCATGATCTGATGGTAAAGATTATGATCATGTATTATGTTTACTCCCTATCCTACATATATTCTCATGTACACATTATTCTCAATTGTAGTGTCTCACACTTGTATAGAATTTTAGATTACATAAATTAATAACTTGATTATAAATTTTTGTTCATTTTTTTCAGTCATATTTAAATAATCATCACAATTAGTGGGGTTCATGAGTATCCTAAAGTGAATGGTTAACTGCTAAAAATTGTTCTCACTGATCAGTTGGTCTTTGAATTTGATTGGTCAATAAAGTGAGGTAGTGCACTAGAATGACTTTTATATGCACTCCTTAATGAAAGCTCAGTTAATGAATTACCACTGTTTGAAGACAATGGCCTGAACAGCCAGTTTCAAACTTAATTAAGCTAATGATGGAAATTATGTTTTAACCATATAGATATTGTACTGTTTAAACTCAGCACTAACTTTATACAGAGAAAGTTATAGATACCAACTTTAAGAATTCTGTGTTGAATTCAGATGAATATAAGCCAGTGACTATCTCAAATACTGCTCTTACTCCTTAATCATTAATACCACTACATTTCTCATTTTCATTGTTTTTTTTTTTTTTACCCTGAATATTCTGGTGTTTTCATGTTTTTAAAGTCAGTTCTTCTGCATGTTCCAGTAAAACTTTTATTCATCTATTCATGGCTACCTTAATTTGCAGCCCTTTAAATATTCTTGAACAGCATTGTAATATAAAAAACACATCTTTATCTTCTGAAAATAAGCACTCATCCAGTTTTCAAGTGATTACTGTGGAATTTAAAGTGCCAACATTCCATTGCTTAAAAAGTTGACTCAGTTCCTTGTTAACAGGGTACTTAGTCAAAGAGAGAAAGAAATAGTGATCAGAACCTACTAGAAAGTCTATAGCTTTAGAGTTTGGGGTTTTTTTTTTTTTATTTGTTTGTTTTTTCTATTAAGATAAACAGATGTCCATTTCCATAGCCATTCCAGGATCCATTAAGGCCTCAATGATTTTAAGAGGTATTTTATTTGTGCACATTTAGGCATACTCTTTGGTAAATGAATGACTGGGAACCTCTTTGACCCCTGTTTTATTATACACTGACAGCTTTGCTGTTTAATTTTTCTTCTTACCACTTCCCTTTTTTAAAAAAGCCATTTTAACGAGTGATTCCTCTCTTTTTATATAACATTCTTTGGTAAAAAGGAATTTTCTTCTCACATTTGGTTTTCTCCATCTCTCATCTACTTCCCTTCCTCTCACTTCAGTCAGACCTGCTGTCAGCATCATAATCTGGACATCGCATGCAAGAGAAGCTAATGTGACTGCTTGACACTTCATACTTCTGTTCCTGCATACTTAATTGCTACTAATATACAGCTATGTTTTTTTTTTTAATTTTTTAATGTTTATTTTTGAGAGACAGAGCATGAGTGAGGGAGGGGCAGAGAGAGATGGAGACAGAATCCAAAGCAGGATCCAATCTCTGAGCTGTCAGCACAGAGCCTGATGCGATGCTCAGACCACAAACTGTGAGATCATGACCTGAGCTGAAGTTGGACGCTTAAGCAAGTGAGCCACCAGGCACCCCCACGTTATATCTTTTTAATTCTTAGCATTGTGTAGCTCTTTTAAAATTTCTTATAGTCATATATCATTTTCATCTCCATATATGCTTTCTGAATCAGGCAAGTATTATAAGAAGACTCATTATTTAGTTAAATACCTTTTATTTAAAGGAGGTCACTGGTGATGCTTGATAACATTCCTTATTCCAAAAGTTTATTCATTCCTTTATTTACTGAGTGCCTACAATGTGCCAGCCTCTCTTTTAGGCTGTGAAATTGTGAATGTAGCTGGATCCAAACAGAAAAGTCCATGCCTTCCTGGACTTGCATTCTAGTGGTGGGAGAAGATGGTTAATAAACAATTATAATACATATATAAAGTAAAGCATGCAATATATTAGACTGTGCTATGTACTATGAAGGAAAATAAAACAGAATGGGGCTAGAGAATTCTCGGGGAGATATTTAAAATAGGGTGGTCAGGAAAGGCTTCACTGAGGAAGGGATTTTTTTCCAGCCCTGTGGCTGTGCTCTTCTTGCTGAAATAATTGCTCTTTGTGCTGTTTACATAAATGGCTACCAGTCTGTTTTAGAACTAGAGAAATTTTAATATTTTTCTCTTCCCAGGAATAGTGACTGGGAACATTTAGAATCTAGGACATTTTTTTTTTGGTGTCCAGAGTTTTTGTCTATTTTTTAGTTTCATAAATTTATGAATATCTAATATTGATAAGTGAAGAGCTGTTTCATTATATAGTATGTGGATTGACCTTCTTTATTTGAGGATGTATATGACCAGGCACCTAGACTTTAGCTTCTGGCTCTGACATCTGCACAAGAGCTTCCATTCCTAGTCGATAAGGTTATAGGAATACATAAATAACATTCCTTCAGAAAATAATTGTTATATGAGCCTGTGTTCACATTCTGAAGAAAATTTCAAAGGCCACTGACATAGAATAGTAGGTGATTGAATTTTTAAATAGTTCCCTTTCTCCCCTTTTAAAAACTTAGTAGTATTCCTGGGTAATATGTGATTTTCCAATAGGTATATCATCCTATTGGGTTTTTCTGTTTTCTATTATAGGTGCAGTATACTTCTGTGATAGAATTATAGACTCACTAGCTGTGTGATTTGGGGCAAGTTATTTAAATTCCTTAGGCCTCAATTTCTTGATCTGTAAACGAGTATAATAATAGTACAACCTTAATGAGATTGTGATTGAGACCAACATTTACCATAGTATCTAGACCATAGGAAGCTTTAAAAAAAATCAGTTATTCTCATTTGTATTATAATACTAAACCTATAATATAGAGAGATATATTTCAAATATTCTTTTGCATATTACTATCATGTCTTTTATGCTCACCCACCTCATGTGTAATTGTTAATCTCTAATAAATAATGAATATTTTAATTTTTTTAAAGGTTTTTACTTCTATAATTCTGGCATAGACATTCTATAATTTATGGTAGCCATGAGTTGTTTTCTCATTTATGCCTTTGCTTGATCAGAAAACATTTATTTATTACTTAATTTTTTTTAATTACAGGTAGATGCCACTGAGAGTGAACCAAAGAGTTTTATCTTTATGAGTGAGGATGCTTTGACAAATCCACAGAAACTGATGGTTTTAATTCATGGTAGTGGTGTTGTCAGGGCAGGTCAGTGGGCTAGAAGGCTTATTATAAATGAAGATCTGGACAGTGGCACACAGATACCTTTTATTAAGAGAGCTATGGATGTAAGTGCAATTTCTTTTATATTTTTTTTGACATTTTATAGCTCTGTTTTATTATAAGTTATTTTATCCTGTCTCTTCAAAAGTACATTCTAAACATAATCCTATCTTTAAATTGTTTTTTATTTGTAGTGAAAAATTATCCTGTATTATTTTGCAGTTACAATGAAAAAATGGTATCTTAAGTGTACACAAATGTAGATAATGTCTTTGAGATGAATATTTTTATTCTAAATTTATTATTATGTGATATATCACTTAAATTATCAAATACTTATCAGTATTATTTAAAATACTTATAAAAAATACCAAGATGGCTTTTGGAAATCGTTGCCTACTTAAGTTAGAAGCTAAAGGAAATCTACTTGAAATTAATCTCTTATTCTTTAAAAGAAGAGTTAGAATAAGTCAGTGTTTGTTATTTCTTTTAAAAACACCAGAGCTCAAATAAAATGCTTTAAGCATTAGACAAAGACCTGTAAAATGGTAAATTGAAATATTTACTGAAATACTTTATTCTTATTTGAGTTCTACCTTTTCAGAAACTGGTATTTTAAAATTGTATTCAAGGTTTTCTTTCCTATAATCGTGAAATTGTTTTTTTCTCACCTAGCGTTGTTACATCTTAATGGTTGGCTGCTTTTTTTTGTTTGTTTTTTATTTAACTGTCTCATTGTTAAGTTCTTCAGTGAACAGGCAAATTTTGCAAAGTATATGTTTCTTTCAGATATGAATAGAGATTTTCTTCAGAAAAAAGGAAAGTGCTATCTTGTAGAAAAAGATTTCATTTAAGAACTTAAAGTTATTTAGGAATATATGTGTACATGTATGCATTATAGGAGCTACATTATTACATTTTTGTAATTACAAAGGGAGAGGAATTGTTTGAAACATTGATGATTGCAAAGGTCAAACATATGTTTCCTGCTCTGTTACCTCTGAAATGATAAAATTAAGGCCCAGCCCAGCTGGACTTTATTTTTATTAACAGATTTTAAGGCCCTTAAAATGCTTCAAGTAGAATTTCTTGGGTTAATTGTGTATTGTTTTTTCAGCCTTCATGGATATGCAGAGAACAAAAGACATTACTTTTGATTGGTTACAAACTTCAACAGTACTTTTTTAGTATTATTTAAGTAAACTATAGTAGAATTTAAGTAAAATAAAGTTTAGGGTGAAGGACATAAAATATTGTATTATTTAAACATTTATATCTCTAGTTATGAATCATGAAATTACCTTTCTGTCTGACACATTAGTTTTTGGTTAGAAGAGATCCTATCAGTGGTTCTGAGAACATTTTATGTGAAATGTGATCACAATTCACTGTATATTTGAAAATATAATTGAGTAAAGAAAATTCGATGTGTTTGTACATATAAATGCTTAGTGAAATATTTTATGTCATTACATTGGCCTGCTAATAGATCAACTAAGCCTTTCTTTCCTAGTTTTATTGTTGTGTAAGATTTTTCAAGGTGAAAGACTATGGTAAGTCATGCCAAACATCTGTGAATAAGCTATCTGTTGGTTTCCCAAACAGGAGGGAGGAAGTTTGTTGGTAACATTAGACTCGTCAGTCATTTTGTTCTTATAAGTAGAAGTGTAGTGTTTGGAGACTAACAGCATTTCACTGTCTTGACTGTTTTCTGCTTTTCCCAATAATAGGAACTCATGATTCCTTAAAAACAAACAAACAAAAAACAAAACAAAACAAAACAAAAAAAACAAAAAAAAAAAACAAAAAAAACCCCAGCTGATTTCTAAGTACTTTAGTATTTAGTGTATTTAGAATTTATATGTTGTGTACTTTGAAAATTTTAATTGATGTACTTTTTTCTTTTTGTTTTATATTAAGAACTTGAATATGAACTTTATTGTGGTAAATTTCTACCTGGTAAATATTTAAAAATGGGTATCTCTTTAATCTAGATAAAGTGATTTGTTACTCTGGTTTTGCCTTTTCATGGTATTTCTCCGCAAGTTCTTTAAGGACTAGTTTCGGGGGGAGGGGCGGGAGGAAACTGGAGGGAAAGGGGTTGTATTCTAGGTAGCAAGCACAGGAAGACTAATTTGAAGGAGAAGAGCTACTTCACCCTTACCTTTTAGTCAGATCAGCTCTATTTGTTTTTATTTTATGGAGTTTTTTCTAAAATCGTTTTTCAAGAAATGTTTCCAAAGTTTACAAAAGACTGGAAGCCACTACTCCTTTCTTCATGATCGGTCAGTTTTTCATATTACAAGTGAAGTAAATTCTGATATTTTTCAGGATAGACAATATGATCTCTACTTAGTATGGTTTATAATATTTCTGCTATGGCACCTCTTCCTCGAGCTCACCCACTCTCACTCTCTAGTGTAGAGTGTACTCTTGCATTAGTAAGCTTTCCTGCTTTCACAGCTGTAAAAAACAATTTCTGCTATATCCCTTACAGATTTTTAGGATAAGATTACAGGTCCTAATATTGAAGTCATAGCACTGTAGGATTAAAACTTTTTCCCACCAGTGAAACCCTGCTTCTAAGTGGACTGTTTTGTTAACAACAACTACAACAACAACAAATAGGTTTAAATCTATGGAGCCACTTTTGTTGAAGCTGGGGTGAGGATTGGAAAACTTCTATAAGGACCCCTGAGATTTCTTCCTGAACCCTAGGGCTCCATAGATCACAGTTTGAAAATAATAACAGATATTCCAGTCCTTGCATTTTAGATATATCAGAACTTTATTGTAAAAAAATTATTAAGATTTCATGTTGGAGAAATAGTACATATCAGATACTGTCCCCACAGCTTCTGAGGTTACCATAGCTCATATTTTTAGTGTTTAACAGTCTTCATTGCATATCATATTACTTGGAGTAAGAAACTGTATATCATATAGCCAAGTACTAATTATTCAGTGTTTGTGCAGTTTGAGAGTTACTCGTACGTGTTTCTTCTTTGATCTTTTCTCATGTGGATCTTTCTAGGCATTTCAGTTGGTCTCTGTAAAATGGGCAAGGAAAGTAAAGTCATTACATTACTTGAAGTCATTTAATTACTAATTGCAGATATAGAACAAGGGTGCAGAATTTAAGGAGTCAGTCACTGTCAGGGTTGTGCAGTATTTGTAGGACCCAGAGGATGAGTGCCTCCTTAAATTTTGCATCCTAGGCACCTCTCTGATCTCTCCCTGTCCACGCTTTGACTAATTGAGATGTACTGTCAAAAAGTTTTATGGAGAGTAGTTTGGGAGCCAATAGTCTATAGAGGCAAATTTTACCATGTATCAGAATCACGTGGACGGCTGGTGAAACACAAATTGCCTTTTCCCAAAACCCGATTTTGATGCGGAAGGGTCTGGTTGGGGCCTGAGAATGTACATTTCTAAGACCATACCAGTGATGTGTATGCTGCTAATCTGAGCACAATATTAAAACCTCTGGTATACGTAACACTCTTTGGATGGTTGAGGTTAATTTATAATTTTCAGACTCTAAGTATAATGGATGAGGTAGAACTTGATGGCGATTATATTTAGTAAAAGTGTAAGAAGTTCTAGAAAATGTTTTATAATTAAATCAGTAGAGAAATAAAAGTTTAAATTATGAAGAATACTTTCAAAATACTATGTAACTGATGTACTCAACATGACAAAGTTTATTGATTTTAATAATTTTTTAAGAAGTCTGATTACTTCACTAAGCCTACATTTTTCCTAATTTCTCATAGCTGGATTATTTAGAAGAATCTGATGTTTCCATAATTACTTAATTTTACCATGCATGTAATCTAAAAGTCAGGTAAGGGGTGCTTGGGTGGCTCAGTTGGTTAATAAGCAACCAACTCTTTATTTCAGCTCAGGTTGTAATTTTGCAGTTTGTGAGATTGAGCCTGCATGTAGCTCAGCACTGGTCTTGCACTGACAACACGGAGCCTGCTTGGTATTCTCTTTCTCCTCTTTCTGCCCCTCACCCCACTCACATGTGCTCTCTTTCTGAAAATAAATAAACTTTAAAAAAATTATAAGTAAAGTAAAATCAAAAGGCATATATCAAAATGGTGATTATCCTTTGCTCCTTCCTCATTTATTCTGTTCCTAGATATAGTCTGTCAGTAGTTTTGGAGTTACTTATATGTTCCATATCCATATTTTTAAATTATAAGGCTGTTCTTTTGATTTATCAGTCACTTGATATTAGTCTTGTGTACTTATGGTACACCGGAATCTCTTTCCCATCATCACAGTTTTTGGATTCAATTAGCAATCAAGCTTTGCAATATTACTCTTACTTCAATACTGTTTATGGCTGAGCCAGATAGGTACTATGGTTACATTTCATTTTTGCTAAAGTTTTTTTTTCATGGAATTGATAACTTCTTTCCTTTCAATTTTCTTTGTAATAATTGTTAATTGAGATCTTGATTGGCTTCTCAGTAATGTTTTTACAGGGCCAGACTTATCAGAGAATCTCATAGTTTTCTCTTCTGGAGACCTGTCTTTTGGAACCCTGTGGACTTGTGTTTCAGTCTTGACCGGTCACTTTCTAAGCTTGCCTGTCTACTTGTCTCTCATCCTGGGATTCCCCTCAGATTCTCTCTTATGTTTGACCTCCTCTCTCCTGGATCTAATGACGCCAGCGTTTTGGATATATGCCCTCATTTTGTTGGAGCTATCAAAAAGTGAATACGACATAAATTTCTAAAACCTTGTATTTCTGGGGGAAAAAAAGTCTTTATTTTACTTGTTCCCTTTATTTTGATAACTCAGCGAGGCATAGAATTCCAAGTTGAAAATCATTTTCACTCTGAAACTTGAAGGCTTTGTTTTCATTGTCTTTTAGCTTCCAGTGTTTTAATTGAAAAGTCCAGTACCATTGTGATATTGCATGCTTTTGCTCCCTCTGTGGAAGATTCTTTTCCTTCTGCCTGGTGTCAAGAAGCCACTCCTATTGCTTTTAAGAAATTTCCTGTTATGGTGTTTTGTCTGTTTGTTTTTTATTGTTTTGGGCACTTGGTGA